CGAATAGCGGTAATACCCTCTTCGATAACGCCGACGCAATCCGATACATTGTTAGTATAATCTTTAACGACCGAATTAAAATTATCAATTTTATTAAGGACGGCTTTAAGGGCTTTACCAGCCTTATTAACGGAAATACACAATAAGGTAATATTATTACAAATAATAGCGAAGTCCGAAATATTACCGGGGGCGGCGCTACCGTTATTTATCTTCTTTTTTAGGGGAGGGGTAAATATTAAAAGACGGGACTATAGTAAGGGCGTTACTATCGCTGCTAAATTTATTATTATTATTTTAAAGGGTAATAATTACGTCCTAAGCGGTAAAAGCGGCTTATAAATTACTAATAAAGGTTTAATATTCGAGAGATTAAAGGTCGAAGTTGGTATTACGGAAGGCTTTAGTAATTTAAACGAAATTACGAGTGGGCTTAAAACGACACCCCTTTAAGTACTTTTTAGGCTTTTTACCTAATTTGTATTTATAATAAAGGTTTTTAATTTTAATTCATTTAAAAGTTAAGCATAGTAACGAAGAGGAATAAGGGAAAAGTTTATAAAGATTCGAAAAATAGTGGGTAATATTAAAGCTACTATAAAAATATTTATAAGAAAGAATAATACGAGAAATTATACGGTATAAACTATAAATATACAAAATATATTAAATATTATTATTAAGGATTTAATAGTAAGTTATACAAATAATATTCTTCTCTTACTCCTTCGCCTTCTATTTATGTTAGAATTTCTAGCGAAAGATTTGAATAATCTTTTTAAATATAACGCCGTAACGAAGAATATTAAAAAAACGTAATAATAGGAATAGCGGCCTTAAGGTCCTTAGAGTCTTTAGGATTTTTGGCCGGCTTATTCTTATTAGGCTTATTAAATTTACTTGGGGCTTTAATTTGAATTTTATTAAAAGGAATTATAATAGCGCCGGGTCAGAGCTGAAGAAGAAATATAAGTAGCGTAATAGCGGAATAGGGATAGTAAATTAGGGGGTAAGTAGAATAGGGAATATAAGAAGGAAAAAGAAGAAAGAAGGAAAGGAGTAAGGGAAAGATTACTTTATTAATTGGAGGGTAGGTCGCTATAATGTATTTATTATAAAAGATAGGATAACAGGGCGGAATAGAGAGAAGTAGAAGAATAACGATACATGTAGCGATTAATTAACTCTAACGGAAGGAATAGAGGGGAAGTGGGACGGGGTAAAGCCGGAGGGACCGCGCATTAAAATTAAAGATTACGCTTCGGGAATAATAGTAAAGTTATACCGAATAGGAGATAAATAGCGAAGGTACGGAGCCGACACAGCGCCGTCGCGACAGAATAGCGGAGAGTTTTCAGCCGGCTACGGTACGGTTTTTCCCACCGATTAAGAACGGAAGCGGCACTATATACCCACTGGGTGGACTACATAGTTAATTAGCGTATATAAGACCAATAACATTATTATAATCCGTCTACCTGATTTAATCTATTCGGAATATAAAAGTATAGCGGTATATATATACAAAATATTAACGGATACATTTTTAACCCCAAAATTCCAGCTCGAATATTATTATATAGTAGAAAAGTAGCTATTTCCCCCTAATTAGAATACTATACCGTTACTAAAGTACTATATTAAAAGCTACGAATTATTTGCCTACAGCAAATAATTTATTATTACACCCCTTCTCTTCGAAGTATAGTTAGAAAAAGACCGTTTTAATCCATATATCTAGGAAGTATAAAAGGAAGTTTTATGTAAAAAATAACCTAATCTAATTAATAAATATTATAATAAAACTATATATAATACTCTAGCATCAATAATTCGTAGTAATTCTATATTAATAAATACCAAATATACTTAGGAGTAGTATAACCAACTAGATAATATTATCCTTATTAGTAGGCAATAGTATATAACAATATACTAGGTTACAACAGAAGGCACCGCCAGGAATCCTAGAGTAAATAAAATATTTAAAATAAAAGTACGCCCAATTAAATTACTATTAGAAATTTCATTTAGGAGATTATCTATACAATTATCCAGGCGGTTATTTATAACCCAGTCCCAAGTTTAATCCTAACGTTCAAAAACTATATTAATTATTAAAATCGCTAATAATAATAACGAAGATATAAATATAAATATAAATATAATAATTAATAATAATAACGACGGCGATAAACATGCCCCTATAACCGAAGTAATAACTAAAGCAACCGGCCTACCTAAGCGTATAAAAATATATATTAAAAAGGCGCTTCGACTAAATGTCTATATAATTATATATTACAATGATATTTATAAAGAATATAAATTACTAATTCTATTAAATATACCAGTAGAAGAGAAGTATTATTGTTAGACTTAATATATATATATATATATATATATACTAATAGACTTATAACGGATTTACGGGTCTTTTATACAATATAGTGTAATATAATATATTTTTTATTTTTTATATATTAATATAAAATATATAACCGGAGTAAAATTCCGGTCCGGAGAATAGGTCCGGTAGACTACAGGGATCACCCTTAAATAAAATCCGGAAGAAAATCCGAAAGAAATCCAGACCTTCGATCTTCGCAGTCGATTTCCGGCTTCAACGTCAGTTGTACGAAGCCATACGTACTACCATTGCAATGAGGAAACTATGACGGTCATAATGGTATAAACGGTTTCGTTATATACTAACTATATGGAGTTGAAATAAAGAAAAGAAGTCGAGGAAGACTTCGGGCGTCGGATCCGGATTCCGGACTCTACGGTTGACGTACGGAACCAAACGAAGTACCGTTTAAATGAGTTAGAAATACCGATTCCAAAATACTTTCGGTTTTATCACTAGATTTTTGTAGGACTCAAAAAGTCTATAAGAAAGGAGGAACCTTCGAAGAAGAAAAATATAACTTATAAGAAATACTTATAAATATCTCTACCAATCTACTACATATCCACACATTCTACATACCATTCTGTTCGTCTTTGAATGCTCTATACGCATACATACTCCAATGACCGCTAACGCTTACCAAGCCACCATTTTTATTAACCTCCAAAGTGAAGGCGATATTTACTTTATTATTCATCCTCTTTCAAACTTTAATAATATTCTAACCTTCGTCGATCGATACCTTCCAACAATTTTACTATTGTTAAACTTCGTAATAACCGATTAGGTATACCGCTATTACAATATAAAAACTATACGAATCTATCGATTTTTAATAATATTATATCCTAAGAAAATACGAACCTTTCCCAATTCTTTAAATTTAAAATAGTTAGCGTAGTAACAAAAAGGTTGTTAACGTATAATATAATTATTATACCGAATTATTTATTAATCAAGAAATAAGAGTCTACGCAAATAGGGATAAAACCAGCTTCTTTAAAAACCGGAAAAAGGGTTTAAAACTAATAAAATAAAGAACATTTAAAATTATAGAATACTATTAAAAGTAAATAGACTACATCTTTTTTATTATATCTTTTTAGTACTCTTTCGAAGAATATAGGTTACTCGACGTAATATTTAGTACTATTAAGAATAAGTACGTTGAGGAAGGTAGTATCGAAATCGAATTGGTAATATTCGTAGTCGTTCATAGCCATAATAGTTAAAAAAAGACGAATATTAATTAAGTAAACTATTATTATATAAATATCCTACATAGCCTAGTTACCTTCTTCAAAACTCCCGTATATAACCTATCTAGTTCTAGCTATCCAATCCTTCTCGTCGATTAAATCTTTCTTGTTCTATACCTATTTACCGGGAAGATTTTCTATATTAGGGGTTCTAAGTACTTGGATATAAACCTTACGATTTTCTAAAGCCTTAATTTACTTCTATATAGTAGGGAACTAATATATTTCGAAATTATCGCGTTTATAAACTTATCGATAATTCTAGGGAATATCCCAGTTTACTTTAACTATTACTAAATAAACTATATCGTAATAGATTGTTATAATAGTAAGGTAATATATAGGGGGGGTATATCGAACTAAACGTCCTTCTAATATACTATAAAAAGTTATTAGGTAATATAACCGACATTTGAACAATATTACCTTAATTGTCCTTAACTCTCTAAATATTATGTTTATAATCCAGTAATTTAACGTTAAAGCGACGAAGTTTAACCTAGAATTATTACTAAACTAGAGGCTATAGTCGTATAATTATAAATTCCGAAGATTGTATGGGAAGTTCTAACGTTTACGTCGGAGGTTTTCCGAATTTAGTCGGAAGCTATAAGTATTAAGCCGGAGATTAAAGCTATTATAGTAGTTATAATTGCAATTTACTAATTCGTATTATTAAGGAGGGGGTATATTATCGTGTACAAGTGGGATTCAATATACCTATAGGAGGTAATCGTACGGCCAACGCGGGGTTCTATGATATATTAGGCAAAGGAGTACCTAATGTAATATAAATTATTAATTCGTTATATTCATTAGAGGAATTACAACGGTCGCGGGGTCTAGGGTCTTCTTTATTAAAATTCTCTAGGTCTAAGAGTTTATCGTCGTAATTATCGTCTTCGATCGAGGATATAACGTTTGATTATTATTAAAGAGGGTTTAGGGACGAAGGAAAATATTAATTCAAAGGTTCTAGAATAAACACCGGGGAAACTAAAACTTATTAATACAGGGGAGCTAAGAGTACTCGTAACGTTAGGAGAACTAGAGGAATCGAGAGTACTGGAGTAGCCTCTAGAGAGAACGGTAATATAATAACCATTTCCTAGGATTTTTTAATAATATATTTAGGGGGAGGTATAATAGCTTATTATTAAAATTATTAAGGTTAAAGGACTTTACCGTCAATTTTAATCCAAACTTAGTAACCACTATTAATAATTTTGTTAATTCCATCAACTATTTAATCCGAAAAAAATGATATAGTATTCAACGATATTGCCGTTATTATCTCGAATTTCCTCCTTCTTATTAATTGGGTCCTCCTCAAGGAAAGTTATAGCGTTAATTCGAAGAAGTTTACTAATAACTAGGTTCCAAATAAAGATAATACGGTTATAAAGGTCGTCGAAACCGATGAAATAACCCTTTTGAACTCTTGTTCGAAATTTATCGCCTTTAGGGCGCTTTTTTAATTTAATAAAATAATAAATAATATAGGAATATAAGCGTAAATACTTAATATAAAGTTATTTAATTTCGTTTAGAAAATTAATTGCGTTTGCAAAGAGTTCTTATAGGCTTTTACAATCTTTATTAGTCTTTGAAGGAAGTAAATTCAAGACCCTAATAACGTAGTCGGTTATAAAGGGCTAAAGATGCTCTAGGACACCAAAATCTATTATTAAGGCTCTAGTGCGCTATATAATAATAGCGCCTATATACTCGATCTTTCCCTATATCTATAGGGTATAGGGTATTAATTTAAACAGTTCACATCCTTCTACTCTAGCTTAGTTAATGAGTTTATTATATTAGAATTCTTTAGTACCAAAGCCAAATTCTAGACCGCTATCGAAACTGAAAGCCCTAATTTGAGACCGCCGCTTTAGAGTTTAGCCGACTTTTTAAATTCTTTGATTTGAATAAAGGTATCGCTTTTGTTAATTATAAATTTGGCCCAATAAAAGCTAGTAACCTTATCGATAAAATAGATTATATATTTATATCCCTTATAATCCAGGAGGGTATAAAAATAATATTAACGTAAATATATATTATAGGTTAAATTGTAACTTTGCCGGCGTATTTTGGGATAACGTTATAAGTTTTAATTTTAATATAAATTTTGTAGAAATAATCTTGGGTATTATTTAATTTAATACTAATAATTTGTAAGCTTTGAGAATTTGTTCTTTGCCTATATATATAAGTCGACGATATATTATTAAGTAATTGATAAATATTAGTATAGTATAGCGGGTATTTTAAATAAAGTCGCGTTGGGCGAGTACTAGTAATATTAGGAAATTATTAATCTACTAATATTAAATAATAACCTTGCTGTATATAGAAATTTAGTTATTACGTATATTCTAGACTATATTATTATTGAAAAGACCTTTGTGTCACAGAATTACCTATGACTATGCCTAGCACATGCACGGTTCCTACTATAGGCAATTGAGCCTCGTACCGTACTATTGCCGCTATTGGCCAATAGTACATCACGTATATATACACGTACGCTGGTCCCGGCTCTGGGCATGGCCTTCGTGCCTTGCCCTATATCGCCAGACCTGTGTACACCTCTCTTCTCCTCTCCTCGTACAACTACGCATATCCAATCTACCCCCTACTATTCGCCTTGCCTCGTGATAATTAGTTATACCTAATTATTACGCTATAAGCGTATATTACTATTATTACCGCCGTCGTCGAGAACCTCCGACGTGCCCGCAATCTAATCGTACTATAACAAGTCAACTAATCGCACCGCGACGTCAAATTAAGCAATTATACTACAATACCCTCGAGCGCCTATAAAGTAGAATTCTCTTTTTTTTTCATTAAATACCGTTATATAGTAGCGCCCTATTAATTAAGCGATCAATATCTCTTATTACTAATACAAATATCGCGATTTCTATAATCGGTTCCATTATTAATTGCGCTTATAAATAACTCTTCGATAATATTACTAAGGCCCTTAATAATGACTAGGAATTAAACAACCTAATTAAGGAGGACTTTTTCAATACTACTTTATAATTAATTAATTACCCTGCCTTCTCTTACATTATTACCGCCCTCGCGCGCTTAATTAACGAGGATATAATTGAAGCTAATTTATTTACTACCGTAGTATAAAATACGCTAACTATCGTTGAAAAGTAGCGTATTACGTAAAGTATTACAATCGCTAATCTCTCTAATATAATTAATACCTTAAACGGTAAAACCGCTACCCTTGAGTAGTACCTTACAAATATTTAAAGTACTTTAACCGACTCCAATTCTACTTTCTTCACTATTAACGAAGCTTTAATTAAATTTAAGAAGGACGCTACCGCTTAAATTAGGGCCCTTAAGGACGCCATCCGTACGAAAGTTAATCTACCCGAGACTATCCCCGTACCTAGCGACGATAAGGAGGAGGACGATATATTTATTCTCATTTTTAAATTATATATTAATAAGGATTCCGAAGTCTTTACCAGTAAGGGTAATATAATTATTAAGCGTACCGAATCTTACTATACCTAACGTATAAAAATCGAATTCTATTAGTTCTAAGACGCTTAGTATTTTAATTAGGATAAATATTATAAGGTCGCTTAAATCTTATAGTATTTGGCCGGTTCTACATTTTATATTCTATTTCCCTAGGTTATACTAATATTAAAGGAAGTTAATAAAAATAAATAGAAGTAGAAGACCGGCGAACTCTTATTTGCTTACTTCGATACTAAGTATAACCGTATAAACTTTACTCTTAAATCCTATCGTAACTTGGAGATTTTAAAGATAATTAAGGGTTAGAAGTAATTTAATTTCGAGGATAAATTTACTACCCTTATTAACCATTATAATTTAGACAATACTATAAAAACTTATTATTTAAAAATAAAAATTACCGACGAAGTCCGCAACGCTATTACGTACTAGTAGGAAACCCCCGCTCTTAACGATTACAATAAGTAGCTTATTATATATTATAAATTCGCTACTAATTTCGAAGAGCGCGATTAGCGCAATAAAATTATTATATTCTATAAGAATAATAATTCCGGCTCCGGCTCTAATAACGGCAATTCCGCCTCCGCCTCCGAACGTACCGTTAATTAAAGCAATAATACTATAAACCTCAACGCTATATCCGCCTTCAACATTTCTTTAGCCCGTATAATTAATAAAGTTATTATTAACTACCGCGTATAGAATAATTTATATAAACGCTACATTAAATCGGGTTACTAAGCGATTAACTACTATAATAGTATTAATACCGGTATTCCTAAATTAGAGAAAGATTACAATTATTATAATAATTATCGCAACGGTAGTAACGGAAGTAATAGTAATAAACCCGCTATAGGTTAGACCGATTATAGTAACAGCGTTCGCATTAATATTATAGGTATTAGAAAGGCCGTCCCCGCCACTCTTATTACTATAACTGCTCCGTTTACTGCCCTAATTCCCCCTCCTACTAGCGAATATAACGCGGGAAATACGTAACCTCCCTACTAAATTACGTGGAAAGGCCATCGTTTATAATAGTAATAGAAGAGGAGGATATAAATTTAATAAATTTAGAAATAATTCAATTAAAGCATTTAATTTTAAATAACTATAATAATAATTCTATCCTACTCTCTACTTATATCGTTTATAGATTACGTAATTAAAGGAATAAATATACTACCTTAATCGATAGTAAATATTCGGTACTCGCTTTCATCGATTATAATTTTACTATTCGTTATATTATATTATTATTAAAATTTCTTAAACTAGAGGCCTTATATTTAGCCGATAGCATCCTTAAGGATTTTATTACTTACTATTGCGAAATCTAATTTCAAATTAGTTATTATATAAAAATAATGGTAATATTAGTTTACGATTTAATAATAAATTACCCAGTAATTTTGAATATACTATAATTTAAACTCGATAACCCTTTAATATCTTTATTAAACAGGTTAATTACCTTTATAAAAATATACGCCGGACGCTACTTACCTGTAAATTTACCCGCTTCCCTTCGTTAAATACTTAAAATTTAGGATAATAATTATATAAGACGCCGTAAAATTTTAAATCGAATTACTACCCCACTTCTATCCCTAACGGTAGAGGATAACGCCGAAAAACCTTTACAACCCAAAAATAAAACAATATTCTATTCGTAGGAGGATAAATATATTCTAATAATTATTAAAGACTTCGATTTTGAGACCGCCGGCCGTTTATTACCTATTTACCGAGTAAAAAGCGCTACGAAATAACGTTTTATACAATTAAAAGCCTACTAAGCGCGCTCTAATATACTATTAGCCGCGGACCCTACCCTTAAAATTAAACCTATAATTTACCGCCTTATTATTAATTAGCGGAAGTCCGATACGGACTACTCTATACCCGTCCGCCACGCTTATTATTCGAACAACCTAATTAACTTAACGGATATTAAAGACCTAACGACGGCTAGCTTTAATTAACTTTACGAAATTTATAAGCTACGAACGTTCCGTATATTATACGCTAAAATTATAAAAATTATAGAGGAGGCTAGGGCGGAGGAGGAGGCCCGGGCTAAAGAAGTAGAAGGAGACGTCCTAGAGCCTAAAGAGTAAGGAGATAATAAAAGTATTATCGAAGAAAGGGTAAAGATAAAAATAGAAAATTTAATTAACTAAAAAAATAATATAAGAAATTATAAATAATAAAGGTATTAAGTATAAAACATTATTAAATAAGCGCTTTTACTTCTACATTAACGCCTACGTAAGCAGAAGATTTAAAATCGCTATTGGAGCCGCTAGAATTGCTAACGAAATTTATTTAAACGGTAAATTAGCCGAAGATTTCGAATATTATAAAGAAGTTATTAAGGTCGTTAAAATTACTGAAAAAAACGTTACTAAATTCTATAAAAAAAACCGACAAACCCCCTAAGACTAACGAATAAATTAAAGAAAAGCTTCCTAAATAATATTAAAAGTATATCGACGTTTTTAGGCCTAAGAAAATTATAATTATCCTGCCTTATTATTCTTATAATTTTAAAATCGAATTAAAATTAAGTAAATAGGTATTTTACTTAAGGTTAAAACCTTTTAATTTTAATGAATTAAATGTAACTAAAAAATAGATCGATAATAATTTTAAAATCGGATTTATCCGCCTATCCTAATTAGAGGCCGCTTCCTAGATTTCATTCGTAAAAAAACTGGGCGGCGGAATAAGAATTTATATAAATTATAAAAATATTAATAACGTTACGTTTATAAATCGATACTCCCTCCCTTTAATTAAAGAGACTCTTAACGTTATTTATAAGGTTAAAATATTTATTAAATTAAATATTATCGCCGCTTTTAATTATATCCGCGTAGCGGAAGGGTATAAATAGTTAATTATTTTTATTACCCGTTTCGGATTCTTTAAATCCCTAGTATATCCTTTCGGGCTATAGGGAATTTTAAGTATCTTTTAAAATTATAGTAATAATATCCTA